CTCCCCCACCCACCCCACCCTGCGTAGTGGCTCCGGGGGAGAGATTTTGCAGGATTCGGGGCTTATTGCCTTAGGTGACACCAAAAAATGGGGAGGGGGATCCCGAGGTGTGCGTGAGGGGTGGGGAGGAGACTTGTCAAAATAGTTTTTAGAAACTCAAGCGGATGGCTGGACACTTATTTTTTCTTGTGTATTCATTCTTGTCATTCCTAGAGAACAAGGATTAGTTTTTTTAAAGAACTGGAAAACTGTTCAGCTTGGTCATTAAAATAAATTGTGAAGCCCTTGCTGGGGTTTGGGGGATAGCAGTTTTCTGAATCTCAATCTTTTATTAAGTCTAGCCTGCATCTTAGACTAAGTCTAATGTCTTCACTTTCTTGCCGCTCCCCGGGTGGGGTGGGATAAAAAATAAAATAAAAATTTTAAATTTCAAATGTTTCGATGGCTATTTATGTATTTATTTACCAGTGTGGGTTTAAAAAGCGATTTGGGGATCCCCCAAAAGGTTGCGGTCCAGAGAATGAAGGAGCGCGGGGGGGGGGATAAAATGGCAGGGGGTTTTTTTGTTTTGTTTTTTGGGTTTTTTTTTTTTTTTTTACCTAAAATGTGGTTTTTGGAGGCTGGAATTTCTAATGATTAGGTTTTTGCGGTTTATATAGACCCGACTCTAGCAAAGGCAATCATTACGCTGATGAGAATCAGCAGCACGTGAGTGTCTCGGACCAGCCCCAGACTGCTCCTCCAGGACCAGCCGCCCCGCAGGCGCGCTCAAAACTGGGGGCCCCCTCGGCACCCCGAGACAGGCACAGGCCGTGCGCCTTCTCTGGGCACCTCTATGTCTCTAGCTTCTTATAAAACCCTTTAAACCTTCCAGAGCCTGACAAAATGCTCGAAGAAAAGTATCCTCATCCTCTGCCACGAAGTCCCAAGGATTCCTAATGGCTGGCTGACACCGCCAGACGTGATTTTATGCAAGAAAATAAAAACTCAAGTTCCTGCCCCTGGGGAATTTGGGGAGGCAGGTGTCTGGGGCATCGCTCACTTCCTGTGACCCTATTTAAAGCTCTTCACCTACTCTTTAATGGGATTTTTTATGGCTCAGCAGGCGGCTCCCGCCCCCGGAAGGTGCTCGTCTGCACCCTTTGGGGCCTGGACGCCCCGAGAGCAAGGGACCCGGGTTCCGGTGCAGAACCCAATGGCCTCGGCTGCTGAACTTGGGGAACTTGGTCGCGAGACCAGAGACGCTCGGGGCACCCAGTGGGGGTAGGTTGGGGTCTCTAGGGGCTCTCTCCAGTCTGAGGAGGAGAGGAGCTCCCTACTCCCTCCTGCTTCTTTTGCAATCTTTTTCTTCCACCTTCCTTTCTACAAGCCCAGCTCCACGCCTGCCCCGAGCGTCTTCCCCTCTCCCACTTTTCCCTGGCGTTCCACCTCTCCCTCAGATCCCCCAAGCACAGAAGCCTCCTTGCCTTGCCCAGGGCTTTCCCCTTCCGCCTGCTACCTTCACTCGGTGACACAGAGAAGACCCTAGGTACCTCCCGCTGCCGGGCGCCCTCCCTAACCTACTCCGCTCAACCCCAGGATTGAGGAATCCACTACTGGAGCTTCGTAGGGCTCAGGGAGAGGCTCTGTGTTGCGCCTGCGACTTTTAATTATCTTTTCGGTCACAGGGGAGAGCTCTAACCTTGGGTACCGCCAAGTCTCATTGTGTGCACAAGTTCCCAGGGACAGGCGCCCCAGTCAGAAAGGGAAGTCGGGCTTCCCCCTCAAAAAGCAAAAGAGAGACTGCATCCATGACTCTCCTGTCTTACACAGCCCCCGAGCGCTCTCACATTCGCACACCCACCGACCTCCCAGTTCCACAACTTGCATTCATGCCTGCCCCAGCTTAGCCTGGCAGTTTTATTTGTTGTGGCGCGTTGTTCCACTGTCTAACAGAGATGTCTGGCTTGTTTGTTTAAATGTGTGGGGACTGCAAAGCAGGGCAGGGGTTACAGGAAATGGATTATTATTTCTGTGGTCGCAGGATGGTAGAGATTCCTTGGTAGGTGCTATTACACCTTCTCTGGAGTTCGACCTCCTCCCAAGAAGTTCACGGAACAGGGAACTCCCGGAAATTTGAGGGCCTTGACAGTCAATATTTCAAATATGGGCTCCCAGAAGGGCTTTTTTTTTTTTTTTTAATCCTAGGGCCCTTTGAATCTAAAAAAATCATTTTGGGGACTTTTCTTGTCCAGCAGTGTTTCTTTTGTTTGTTTTTTTGTCTTGTTTCACTTAGTGTACAGTGAAATATGAAGGCCTCAGTGGTTAGGGGTTTTAAGGGCAATTCCATCAATGGTGAGATTATTTATTTTAATTAATCATATCCGGTAATTCAGCTTTATTGCCTTCCTCAGCATCCTCCCTCCATTAAGTATTTCAGTGGAACTAGTATAAGCAGTTCTTAGAGGTTACTAGTTTTGGATGCCTTAAAATATCCTACAGTTATTTATAATGTGGAAATGAAATTTTCCACTGAATACCCTGACAACGTTACAGGTATCTGGCACGGTGGATTTTCAAAAATATCCTCTTGCCTAACATTCACACTTTCAGCTGGAACGGCCTGGGCCTGGAATTGATGATGTCTTGGCTCTGTGTGTTGTACTTAAAGAGGAAAACATTTTTACAGACCCCTCAGTCCACGCCTGGTAACTAACGGCAGGCACATAGGGAAATCATGAGGCTTTGCATGTGCATAGTCTGTGCTATAGTGAGCTATAAACTTATCCTCGAGTTTAGATTTTCTTCTACATCAAAATGTCTGGAACAAATCACCAGCTAAATTCCTCTTCTGAAATACTCATCTTTTCAGTTATACGTTATAGCATAAAGAAGAACATACATTTTTTTCTTGAAAACATGGCTATCTAGCAAGATATAAACATAATTTTCCCCTCCGTGTCCTTTAATATTCAATATAACTGTCCAGTAACAACACCTGGCAATTCAGACATTCCAGACAGAGAATGTGATGCAAAGCCATGAAGCTACTTATCCAGTCAGAAAACCTGTGCTCCCAAACTGAGAACAGAGTTCAGCTTTCTTTCATTATGGTTTTCTGTTCTAACTTGCCTGTGTGTGTGTGTATGATAAATCTCTTAATTAAAATAGTTTTCAATGAGCCAAGCAATAAAGTGGTACAATCAATAAAAATTATAAACACACTGATGACCCCTAAGCTCTGAAAGTGTCTTGTGGGACAACTCTATAAGCAGAATCATCATTGGAGACTTTTCCTTAGCACTGTGCTTGAGGGAAGATTAGCCCTTGAAGAAGTCCTCATACACAGCCCATGGACTAACTCTGGCCTAATGCCTATTCCTTTAGCCCACAAGCTAAAAATGATGTTTGCATTTTAAAACAGCTAGGAAAAAAATAAAACACTAATATTTATGACACATGAAAGTGATACTAACTGCAAATTCCAGTATCTACAAAAAGGTTTTATTGGAACGCCACTATGTTCATGTGTGTGGATTGTTTATAGCTGCCCCAAACAGCAGGGTTTTGTAGTTGTGACAAAGTTGTTATGGCCCACAAAGCCTAAAATCTTTTCTATCTGGTTTTATAGAAATAGTTTGCTAGTCCCTGCCCTAAAGTGAAAGGCAACCAGGAATGTAGTGGGATGAGATTGCAGGAAGAGCAGAAGTGACAGAGGATGTTGGGGTGGAGGCTGATTCGATCTTTAAAAAAAAATGATCACTTATTCTTCTCTGCATCGAATGTTAATTAATTAAACTAATTTTTCACTTAATGATTTTTGGATGTGCCATGAAAGAATGAAAAGAATGAGTGAGTCCATATTATGTCATCATTTTCTGTGGTGGGATCATATTAACTCCACAGATGAGAGAAGAGTGCGAAACTCTCAGGTAGTCTGAACATGGAAAAATAGATGAGCCTGTACTAGATTTGTCCCATCTGTTTTATAGATGATTATGCATGAAACACAAATGAGCATACCAAGAATTTTCTGGTATATATGTTCAGAAGTTCTATATACATTTTTAAGACAGTTAGCTTAATAACTTAAGTGATCCCAAGGCTTGCTGACATATTTTTTCCATTTTAATATTTGTATAGCTAAATACTGTCTCATGTATTATGGTGCTATAAATTTTTCGCATTGTCAATGGGCTCATAATAATTTGCATTGCTGTAACAAGAGATGAAATGTTTGTAGTAGAGGACTTGACATCATAAATCTTTCCTTGTTGTTCTGGTTAACGTTCCCATGGGCCATGTCCAGTAACTTGTAAGAAAGTACCATGGTGTCATAAAAACAGTGAGGCTTGTCATGTGATCTTTTGGAACCACATTTATAGAGTGGCAACTCAAAAAAGTATGCTTTGTTGTGCTAAAGGACCAACTTACTAAATGACATCCTAGTTACCTGAAGAGACGAATATAATTTCTAAAAGAATCTACTTCATTGCCCAGCAGTCAGAGAAATAAAACTAATTTTCCCACATCAGCCCCTTGGTATTTTGGTGTTGGCAATTGGCCTGTGGCAGTAGCAATGATCTTTGAACAGCAGTAGAATGCTGTATAAAAAATTTACAGAGGTCTGTGGTGAAACATGTAAGAAGACCCTAAAATTAAAGATTTCCTGTAACAATTCACTCATTCTTTATCAAATTGCTCTTATTTTACCTTCAGCACATCAAAGAAAGTGTCGAGCAATTCTAATCCCATTGCCAAAGGTTTCAGTTTCATTAACTTCAGACTTTGGAGTGATGGCCTCAACCACCTGTCCTGTACCCCTACCATGACATCAGGGTAGAAGGTACAAATCATAACACTATGGGTCCATCTAATAAAGCACAAAAGTCAACATTTGCTCAGTGTAAGAAATTTGAATTTCAGACTAGAGAGGTAGGAAAGATAGAACAGGAAAATAAGTGAATAGCAAGAGTCCAAATTGGTTCTATTAGTGAATCCTAGGGGAGGCCAGATATAGGTCACCATTCTGAGTGTTTTGATCCTGGGTAGGGAGGGGAAAGTCTCTCTTGTCTGCTCTGTGTCAGTCCTAAGGAGAGTGGATGCTCTTGCCCTCTATACTCCTTGGGGCCCTCTTTGCTTCTCTCTTTAACCAATTCCTTAACACTCAAATCCTCCATTAGAGTCGATAACTGTATATTAAAATCCTTTTTCAAATTACTGTGTGATCTCTCTCTTCATCGCACCCAGGCTGCTAGGCTAAGCTTCCATCTTCTGGCCCTTGGATTGTTCTTATTCACATTGGCTGCCACTTTGGCTCTCTCCATTTGAGACATGAGTAGATGTGCATTCCCCAAACAATAATGAGTGGTGGTGAAACTGCAGAGGAAAAGGAAGACTTCAACATTGTGGGTGGGACTATAACTAGTACAACCAATTTGGAAGTCAGAAAGGAGATTTCTCAAAAACTAAAACTACAGATTCTATGACCAGCATTTTATCCTTCTAGGTATCCTCCTAGAAGAGCTAAAGACATTCATACTACAGTAATACATGTATACCAATGTTTATAGCAGCAAAATTCATAACAGCTGTTCAATATTGGAAGCAGCAATATATGTCCATCAACTGATGAATAAAGAAACTGTGTATTTATGCACAATGGAGTACTACTCAGCCATAAAGGAGGATAAATTTGAGACATCTGTAGGAAAATGGGTACATCTTAAAACTGTAATGTTCAGTGAAATGAATCAGACACACAAGCTTAAATATTGCATGGTTTCTCTTATATGAGAAAGCCAAAATATAAATAAATTAAAGAGCAAAATAAAAGGCAGTAAGAAACAGGGATTTAGATCTTTTAGGGAACCAAGAGATGAAAAAGGTGGGAAGGAGGGGAAAGAAAGGGGACATAAAAATAATTAAGATGTGTTATGTACATGTACGAACTTCCCATGATGAATGTAGTTATTGTGTACTGCAAACAAGTACTAATAAAAATTTAAAGAGATGAGCATTTACAACTTCATAGCTGTAAAATGATTTCTCTCTACCTGATAGATATAAGTATATACTTAGAAGATATATCCTGTGTGTGTGTGTGTGTGTGTGTGTGTGTGTGGTAATAGGGATTGAATCAAGGGCCTCTGCACTGAGCTACATCCTAAACCCTTTTTATTTTTGTATGTTGAGACAGGATTTCAAGTTGCTTACATAGGGTTTGAACTTGTGTTCCTCCTGCCTCAGCCTCCCAAAATGCTGAGATTACAGGCGTGCACCACCACACCCAGTTTAGAGGAGATATATCATCAAGAAATGAAAATGTGGAGAGAAAATAAGAGATATTTTAAAGCACAGGATAAAATTTGTCAGTATTTTTGTCTAGCGTCCTCCTAATATCTTCCATGAAATGCCACAGTCCACATATCAATCAAAGTATACATAAAATTATGCACAAAACTACCAGAACTTCTCTGTACCTAGACCTGATTAAAAGCCCTGGCCATTACAGGAGGATAAATATCCTGAAGGATCAGAAAAACAAAATGCTACCACCAAGAAAAGAAGAAAAGAAGGTCTAGATAATTTCTGCATTGTTTTACTTGAAGCGAGAGACTAATGCTACGTCTTTGGATAAAATAAAACTGAAAACACTTGATTAAATAAGATATATAGATTCAGTATTGCCAACTTTCTCCCAGCTTTCAATATAATACATGTGTCTCAAATCACCAGTAGAAGAATTTAAAATAACAGCATTTACAGACTTGTTAAATTATTGCTTCTAAAGAAATATAAAGATCTTTGAAGTATTCTTAAAAACTACTAAGTTAAAGTGAAAAAAATGTGTTAGTACATTAAAGGTACCAAGTTGTCTAGAAGAAAAT